AAAAGGGAAAAAGGGAAAAGGGAAAAGGGAAAAAGGGAAAAAGGGAAAAAGGGAAAAGGGAAAAGGGGAAAAGGGGAAAGGGAAAATGGAAAAGGGGAAAGGAAAAAAGGGAAAAGGGGAAAAAGGGAAAAGGTTCTCCAGGACCCCCCATTCTGTAACCCTGAGGGTGATGCTCTGGCCCAGGTGCCACTGACTGGCCACTGTGCCCATCCCCAGTGACTGGAGACGTGACTCCCTCAGTGCCAGTGCAAACCCTGCCCTGGAAACCCGAATCCTGGAGCTGGCACAAACTCGGTGCTGCTGCTCACAGGGTTTTCCTGCCACAGGTTCAGTCTCCCTGCAAACCTGCTGGCACCAAACCCCCTCGCTCCGACCCCTGCGGTGAACGGGGACCCTGGAAAAATCCTTCTGGGGGGCTGAGCAGGAGGTTTGCAGCTCCCAGGTCACCCACAGCAGCCTCCAGTGCTGATTCAATTAACAATTAATAAAGCTCATCTCTCACAAACGAACCGGGGGGGGTTCAAATGCACCACCAAGCACAGAAGACTTCCACAAACCCACCCCGGGGAGGAAAAACGGGACAAATAATCCCGTGTGAGCATCTCGGCGAGGTCTCCGGCCAGAGGTGGTGGAGGTTGCCCAAAAGGCAGCTCCTGGGCGTCACGGAGAGAGACAAAGGCTCCGAACAAGGGGCTCATGTGACCGCTGAGCCGGCAGCGCCGAGCCCACCCGGCCACCGGCTTCAAATCCCCGTCGGGCATTCAAATCCACGTCATAAACTCTCCCCCCGCCCCCTTCAGACAGCAGAGGGAGAGACCCGGGGACATCCCCCGGGCACCTCGGTGCCCTGGCAGCCCCGGGCTTGGCGATGCCCAGCGCCAACTTGGGTGCCCGGATCCCAACTTTGGGTTGGAGCAAAGCTGCTGCCTGTGCCTGTGGGCTGAGGTCCTCCAGGGGTTCCTTGGGGGATATCCTTCAGCCTCCCCCCTAGAGCCACCCTGGGGTCCCTGCCACCCCCCAGGCTTGTCCCGAGCCATCGGTGACCCAGGTGACGGGTGGGCAGAGAGGAGCCAAGCTGGCACCTCCCCACATCCCTGCACCATCCTGGTGCCCAGCTGGCACCAAGCACCTGGCGCCTGTTTGCCCGTGGCCAGCAGACCCGCTGGGCTACCTCAGCTCTTCAGCTGGGAAAAAGAACCCCCCTTTCCTTTCAGGAGCCAGCTGGGGAGGACGGACGGACCTTCCTCCCTGAGCCTGGACAGAGCTGCCCCCGGGCTGGCAGCCCTGGCAC